TAAGCAAAGTTCGATGTCTTTACCCCTAACAGCCCTGCATAAGAAAACAAGATCTGACCGTCCCAATCCCTAACAACACCTCCATAATGTGCAACCCCTTGGATTTCTATATGAACTCTCATCAAAATTCAATTTAAACACCCCTCTGACTGGCGGAGGCCATCTTCCAATGGGTCTCACCTTGTGGCATCCTAATTGAAAAATAGTAGATAAATTGAATCTTACATCAACCTTAACAATGTCTTCCCCTCCTTATGAACCGATAAACACATCTAGACAGAATGGAGGATCATCTCCAACACTCTATTCCAAGGCAATGAGGCCCTCTTAAATACTCTTCGGTTTCGTTCTTTCAAAATTTCCCAAAGAATTACCCTTATACTTATTTGCCAAATAATAGCACCAGTTTGAGGCAAAGAAGGGACCAAAAGAGCATGCAAGACTCCCACAACAGTCGCAGGTAAGACCAAAAGGGTGCCTAACTGTAAAAAAAACTAACACCAAATATCATGAGAGTAAGGGCAATGTAAAAAAAGATGAGGTCAGTTTCCGTATCACTCTTACAAAAAAGGCATATATTAGGCAAGATCTTGCCTATTTTGATAAGATTGTCGGTAGTAAGGATCTTTATCTTGTATAACCAGCCAAAAGAAAGCTTACACTTTTAGAGGAACTAACCACCCCTAAATGCGGGCTAACTCTAGCATTATCCAATGCACCTGTCATAAAAGAGAAGATCATATATTAATCTAATCGAAAACTGATCATCTCTAACAAAATCTCAAATCACCTCATCCTCTGCATCGTCATCACAAGGGATATCCACATGAATCATCGCATGCTTGTCAACTTGATACATGAATTGGAATCAGGGCCCATCCCAATCTCATTATCTTTCTACCCCACACGTTGCTAGTTACAAGGACATAGCAAAGAAATACCCCCCCCACATGCTATAGGAGTATAGGACAAAGCCTACAAAATTAGGTATTGAACAAAAATTCTTCCTAGAAGAAAAGGACAATGTCTACAAATTGGGGGTATCATCAGACCAAGATGTTGTTTGACCGTCTCTCCGAATACTTCTTTATTTTTATTACTCCAAAGTTGGGTATTAGCCATCTATTGGTTGATCTTTTTGTGTTGGGTGCGGTTTGCAGGGAATTGAGGCTCTAAACAATCAGAGTAAAGCGCACCTTCAAGTAGTTTCGAAAAATATGGTTTGAATACCAGAAATCTTTGTGATAGCCTTAAAATATATTTTCATCACTAATTATAAAATTTAACTCTTGAAAACTAGTGTAGATTGAGCAGGTCTATGAAAACTTGAAAATTGACAATAAAAAATGCATTATAAGATGCACCATTTTCAAAACTTGAAATCCATTTTTTTCTCATGTCCATACATCTTGAAGTCGAGATGATCAATTTAAAGATATTTGGGCATCAAAACAACCTCTTCTAGTGAAATTTTTGAGGTGCGCCCTAATTTTTTTATTAGAGCCTCACACTTGTATAAATTTTTTCCTAAAGTCATCCCACGGGATCAGTATCAAGTTGTAACTTGCTCCCTAAGGGCCCATTTGGATCCTTGGATATTTCAATCCTGGGAAAAGTCAATCCTGAAATTGAGATTTGTTAGAAATGTCAATTCTTTGTTTGGATCGCATACGGTAGAAATCAAGAAAATACAAATTCCCAAATTGTCTGGAATATTTTTTCTTGGAAATGTAAATTCTTTATCTCTCTCTCACACAAAATTTTGAGATAGGTTTTCTCTCTAAAATTTTATCTAAACTTTTAATACTCTATTCACAAACTTAAAATTTGAAATAATTTCTCTCTCTAAAATTTTTGAGGTAACTTCTCTCTCTAAAAAAGTATGTACATTCTCTCTAAAATTTGACACAGCTTTTCTCAATAAAAATTTGAGATACTTTTTCTCTCTAAAACTTAAAATTTGAGATGGTTTCTCTCTATAAAAATTTTGAGATAGTTTCTCTCTAAAAAATTTCAGATAATTTATCTTTCTAAACAATTTCAAGTAGTTTCTCTCTCTAAAATACGATGTAGTTTATCTCTCTAAAATTTTAAGGCACTTTATCTATATAGAACATAAAGTGTAAGATAGTTTATTTCTAAAAATTTTAAGATAATTTTTCTCTAAATATTTTAAGAAAGTTTCTCTCTAAGAAATTTTAGTTATTTTGTCACTCTAAAATTTGATATAGTCTCTAAAATTTTAAGATGCTTTATCTCTCTAAAACTTAAATTTTGAGATAGTTTCTTTATCTAACACTTTGAAATAGTTTCTATCTCTAAAATTTTGATATACTATCTCTCTCTAAAACTTAAAATTTGATATAGCTTTTCTATCTAAGTTTTTCAAATAGTTTCACTTTCTAAAAATTTTAAGTACTTCTTCTATCTAAAATTTGGTATAGTTTATCTCTCTAAAGTTTAAAATATTTTTTCTCTCTAAAACTTAAAACGTGCGATAGCTTCTCTCTCTAAAAATTTCAAGTAGTTTCTTTTTCTAAAAATTTAATATACATTATCTCTCTAAAATTTAAATTTTGAGATAGTTTCTGTATCTAAAATTTTTTAAATAGTTTTTCTCTTTAAATATTTCAAACACTTTTTCTATCTAAAATTTGATATTGTTTCTTCCTGTAAAGTTTTAAGATATTTTCTCTCTCTAAAACCTAAAATTTGAGATAATTTATCTCTCTATAAATTTTATGGTAGTTTCTCTATCTAAAATTTATATAGTTTCTAGTCTCTAAAATTTTAATACGCTTTCTCTCTAAAACGTAAAAATTGAGATAGTTTCTCTCTCTAAATGTTTGAGATATTTCTCTCTAAAAAATTTTAAGCAGTTTCTTTCTCTAAAATTTAATATAGTTTCTATCTCTAAAATTTTAAGATACTTTACCTCTCTAAAATTTAAGATTTGAGATAGTTACTCTCTCCAAAATTTTAATATGGTATGCTTAAAACTTAAAATTTGAGATAGTTCCTCTTTCTAAAAAATTTGTATATTTTCTCTCACTAAAATTTGATATAGTTTCCCTCTCTAGAATTTTAATATGTTTTCTCTCTTTAAAATTAAATATAATTTCTCTAAAATTTTAATATTATTTTTGTTTTTCAGCAAAATGGATCATTTCCACCTGTTTTGGTAAAATTGAGATTTTCAAAATTTAAGCTTAAAATGAGCCTCTAAGAATCCCAATGAAATCTCAACTCGAAAGGAAATGTAAATGAGGTGCCAATAAGCCAAGCGGGTTCTAAGGTAAATGAGGTGCTAACGGAGAATCACTTATTGGTATTTTCAAATAAAACTAGAATTTTAAGTTCTTGAACCCTTGGATCTGACCATCTAAAATTTGGGTGGTCTTTATGCAACCCAAAGATGTTATTTTCTTCATGCACATAAGTCCGGTGTTTAAATTTTTTTAATGTTCCGGTTTTACGGATCATACAATTTTATTAATTCTTTTTATTACTTTTATATAAGAGTTGAATCGAGAAAAAGGTTTATTGTGTACGATGGAAATGAACTCGAGACATCATGACATTCAATTGACGACCCAAGTTTTGTTTTAAAAAAGTATATCATGGATGGTCCCCCGGATCGTATGTGCACCATGGTACACCTGAGGCTGTCCAAGTCCTTTTTGAAAGTACACCAATATTCTATGCCCTTTGGTACATGGCATCCAAGTTCCATTCCTGATCGTCCATTCTCAGTGGTGGATGGTGAAGATCAGTCACAGTGCCCCAACTAGTCCTTTTCGTGTGCTACTCCATACAATACTGGTGTATCGTATGCAAGTGGCCTATGCTATAGCACACAATATGTATGGTACACGAAGAGGCATCTACCATCCATTCTGAAGAGTGGACTGTCACTAATTAAATCATTGTTGGTCCATTGTCATGGGGTAAACTGAATCCTGACCTTCTATGATTTAAAACCAAAGGTGGATGCTCCCTTCGTGCACATCATACACCACCAGTGTACAATGTTACCGTACACAGTGGTGCATGGTATACAATGTTCTCCTTTGTTCTTGCTTCATACATTCGTAACCGGCGAAATTTCGCTGGCGAAATTTCGTTGGAAGTTATGGGTTTAGGTAAGGCATCCATCCATTATGCACGGATGGCAATGGACCAGCCCTAGCCAGGTCATTCTTGGCCTTGGCCTTGACCATGTACTCATAGTGCCGGCTCAGGCCCAGGCCCAGCTCAGGCCCTAGTAGGGTTAGGTCAAGCAAAAATAAAAAGGTGCAATTTGTATAGAGGAGGCTCTAAACAATCAAAGTAAACCGCACCTTCAAATAGTGTCGAGAAATGTGATTTAAATATCGGAAATCTAGTGATAGCCTTAAAATATATTTTTATATTTAATTATAAGATTCAAAGCTTCAAAAATAGTATAAATCGAACACATCTATGAAAACTAGAAAATCTTAAAAATAGATGATAAAAAATATCTTACACGATGCATTATTTTGAAAACTTGAAATCCATCTTTTTTTATGTGTGTGCTTCTTGATATCGAGATGATCAATCTGAGAATATTTGGGCATCAAAACAATCTCTTCTTATGAAATTTTTGTGGTGGGCTCTAATGTGATCGTTTAGAGCCTTGACTCTATATAAACTTTATACAAAATAAAAAAAAACAAATAGAGGCGGGTTTCTCCAAGCCCGGTCCATGGCCAAAGCATGTGCCCAAGCCCTGCCCCATCACCAGCCCGGATGCACCGTCAATTTCGGATGGCGAAATATCGTTGAAAGTTTCGGATTTCGGTTAGGGACGTCGAAATCTTCCGGAATTAAAAAACAAGAAAAAGAAACGCGAATCGTCGGCTTCTTCCGACAAAAGTTGCAGTGACGCGGAAGCTGAGCAGGTCGCTAATGTACGAATAATTTCAGTCCCATTATTTATTATTATTTTCCCTTCATATCCATTTCCCTTTTTTTTTCTTTTTTTTTTTCTTCTTTTTCTTCTTTTTTTTTTTTCACTTTCAGAAAACTCACACCAAACTCTCTGAAACTCCGCCTTTTCGCCTTCTCTTTCTCTGTCTCTCTGACGCTTTGTGAAAATTGGCGTCTTCGTAGCTCTGTTTCCATTAATGGCGGAATCCCGACTTCGAGATTACTTGGAAGCTTGAAAACCCTCGAAATGGTGGTGTTTTGAGCTGAGTTTGTAGAAAGAAGCTCCGTCTCTGTTTAATCTGAGTCGTTCCTTCTAGGGTTTCAGAATGCTTTTGAAGCTGAAGGAGCTTCTCATCTGCACGAGTCCCTGCGTTTACGGTTTTGGACGGGATTTGAAGTTGCAGGAGCTTCTGGATTTTTCTAGTTTCTAGGTTTTTACCGAGGGGCACCTTGAATCTGTGTCTGAGATTCTAGGGTTTTGCATAGGGTTTAATAGTTTCAGGAGCACCAGGTTCGAGTTTCTGAGTTTCTAGGGTTTGGGGCAGTCAGTCGAAGTTCGGTTGTTGATGCTTAAGTCTTTGTTTCTCTGGTTCTTAGGGGAGGAGGTAGTGGCCCTCAATGGGGAACTGTTGCCGCTCTCCTGCTGCAGCTGCAAGAGAAGACGTGAAATCAAATTACTCCGTCCATGATCAAAGCAAGAAAGAAGGAAACAGCAACAAAAAGTTAACTGTTCTTAGTGGGAGCATAAAGGGGGGGGTCGATGAGAAATATGTGGTCGATAGAGAGTTAGGAAGAGGAGAATTTGGGGTCACTTATCTGTGTATTGATAGGAGTACTCAGGAGCTTTTGGCCTGTAAATCTATATCAAAGAGGAAGCTTCGAACTACTGTTGATATTGAAGATGTGAGGAGAGAAGTGGCCATTATGAACCATCTCCCCATCCATTCCAATATTGTATCTCTAAAGGAGACCTGTGAGGATGAAAATGCAGTTCATTTAGTTATGGAGCTTTGCGAAGGAGGGGAACTTTTTGATCGAATTGTGGCTCGGGGCCATTACACGGAGAGGGCAGCAGCTGGGGTTACAAAAACAATTATGGAAGTTGTTCAGGTAGGCCCTGATTTTTTTTTTTGGGTTTATCAGTTCCTTTCTTCTTCTTTCTCAAGTTTTCTTTTGTGATAAGTCCTGAGATCCTTGCTTTTTGGCATGAAGATATGGGCAAATGTGGGATGTAATGTCTCGTTAAATAGTGTCTGACACATTGGGTTATAACAGGGTTAAATACTATGGGAGAGTTGAATCCAATGACAAATTTGGATGTTCGTGGTAGTTTTTTTTGAGTTTGGATTCATTAAATAGCAATTTCACTCTGCTGATGATTGTGTCTCTATTCATGTTATGTGTTTATTTTTTATTTTTTATTCATGGTTGGCAACAACACTGTTGGTGAAATAGTAGCTATAGAGAGATAATTCGTGGTTGAAGGGTCTCTCTCTCTTCGATTGTTTTATTAATGGTAGATGTTTTATTAACGGCTCTGCTTTTAATCTTCAATTTGTGTCCTTCTTGTTATGCTTGATTGCTTAATGCGGCATGTATATTATTTTCTTAGGTTTGTCATAAGCACGGTGTGATCCATAGAGACCTTAAGCCAGAGAACTTTCTATTTGCAAACAAGAAGGAGAATTCACCTTTGAAAGCTATTGATTTTGGCCTGTCCATATTTTTCAAGCCAGGTAGGCCAATGCCTCTCAAATTAGCACGGTTCTTTTAAATTGGGAAGGTTTTTTTAGTTTTATGTGACAGTACATAAAATCATACTTAAACTGCTGCTTTACACACACACATATTCATCTTGTTATAATTGGAAGTAGCTTATGAAATTTTTTTTTTGAGAATTTTCAAGTGTACATATAAAACTATACATAATTTGTTTTGTTTTGAGTGAGTTTCGATGTGTTCAAAATCCTTGGCCCATTTGTGTTCCAGTTGGCCACGAAGGTCGAGCCAAGTGCTTGAGACTCTGGCTCATTTTTAACTTATAAAATTATTGAAAGCCTTAGAAAACTAAAAGGCAAATTACAATAATATACATATATGGATATGCACAAGAATATCATAATGTAGTATCAATATTCTTTTGTTTTGGGCTGGGTCTTTGGGAAAATAATTATTGTGCAATGGGCATGCATCGAACACGAGATCTTCAGAGATATAACCTTTGTTATTCAATATTGACATGAATCAATACCGAGTATATAGAGGGTAAAATTCTCAGAAACCTGTGATCATGAATCATGAATTACAAGATTTTTGGAAGTAATACTGTTCGTGTGTCAGTGTGTGCACCTACACATGGTGCATCTAGGTTTTGAGAAACTATTACTTTATCAGGAACGACAAACTGATATGTAAATGTTTGCTCTGACTGATAATACAAGTAAAATATATAAACTAATTAACATATTATGAATGTCAAAAAGTGAAAGGCTATAAATAGTCAATGTTTAATGATTAAGCTGATAAAAGAACACAATTTTTGACGATCAATACACATGATTTCCTTTATGTAATGCGTCGAGCATTTGCCAAACCTAAGACTGCAGTGGAAAACAGCTAACATTTAATGCATCGTGCCTTGTGTATATTCATACCCTAAAATTTGGGTTTCGGTTATATTTTTCGAAAAACATTTTTACTGGTTTTTGTTTCTGCCTTGCACCTCCTCACCTCTTGGTCCCGCATTCAAATAGAAAAAGGATTGTATATTGTGAGACCATTTATCTTTGTTACAAGGAGGTCACAATTACTCCTAGCCATTATATGTCAAATTGAATGGCTTGAGACATGTCATAAAGTTCAAGAAATTTGTTTGAACATTGAGCCTAGTAAATGACACTCTTACAACCATCTAATTTGAAATCCAATGGACAAGAGTAAAGTTAACCTTTATCAAAAAAAGAAAAGAAAAGGACAGGAGTAATTGAGATCTCCTTTGATGAAAAGTAAATAGTCTCTTTGTATACCTTTCCAATAAAAAAGATCATGTTTTTTCTCACTAGATCCTGGAAGCGTCAACCGAATTTCCCCTATCCGTGGGCTCCTTTTGCCTATGGGATGTGCTGGGGGGCAGGTGCTGAAGGTTGTCCATCTGAGGTGGATCCAATTTAGGTGCATCCATCTACATTCATCTTGCCTCCAGGCCGGTGCGTAGGCACCCAGGTCAATGACCGTGACTACTAATGAGCAAATTCTATAAGCATTTTCTTAAAAGATACCTAAAAACAGCTTGAATATGATCATTAATGAGACTCTATCAATTTGCCTGTTGAGTATTTCTCATGAACTTAAACAATGAAAACAGAGTAGAACAACCTTTCGCACGGTCAGGAGTAATGAGTTCAAGTAAAATACTATGTAAAGATGTGATCTGCACTGAAAAATATCTAGCAACATTTTACATCCATTGGAAACATTTGATTGTGAAGTACAACTATTGTAGCAGAGCCCCAACTAAATGGTTATTTTTCTTCGCATAATTGCTACATTCTGTTTGAGAAAGTTACATGTTCCCAATTACAACATAGCCCCTTCACAGCAATATAATGATACATGATTAGTCCTTTTCTTTGTATTGCTTTGTTTACAATTTGTTGTTGCCCTAATCTCATTTTCAAAATTGTCTTCTCTTTTTTATATGGCCTTTGGTCTAATGTTGATACACCCAATTTGCTAGAGAGACCCTAGTGTCAGTACCTCCCTTGTGCAGACTGAGGTGACCTACCCTATGAGAAAAAAAGTAGTAGAAATTGCATTCTCCTCCAAACTGTGGGCCAAATATAACATCGAGAACATGTTGCAAGGCACTTTTATCTGATTTCATTGATTAGATTAATATGCTCATAACGGTGTTTCATTTGTAACCTTGTTAAGCTGTCTGTTCTCCAGACATTTTTTATTTGAAGTGCAGATATGTTAACCATCATGTTCTAACGGTTAGTTTGTTGAATGCCCACAAAATTTTGAATTTCTATGAACACGGCCTCATTGAATCATCCCATGTAGTCTTTTATAGTGGCACCCAATGGATCCAGCTCAAAATCTTCTCTGTTCTTGTCCTGAAAGACCACATAACCTATATGTATCTAGATTCCCTTTATTGCTACCCTCAAATTGAGTTAAGAACTGCACGGATGGTGGTGCCGACTCCACCATGCTTCTAACATTGAACCAATGTCTAAGGTCTTCCTTACTTCTGCAGGTACAAAGCCATCAACATTTTTGGTATCACTATCTAACTTTAAACTTGTCATTTAATTCATTGAGTGCTTAAAATGTTTAAATAGGTACATGTTCTGGTAACTACATAGTATAACAAGGGCATAATTTTTTTTTTTTAAATATTGTAGGTGAGACGTTTTCTGAAATTGTTGGTAGCCCATATTACATGGCACCTGAGGTACTTAAGCGGAACTATGGTCCGGAAATTGATATATGGAGTGCAGGAGTCATTCTTTATATATTATTATGTGGAGTTCCTCCATTTTGGGCAGGTATTCTTTTCCTTTTCTTTATGATGCTTGACTTTGATATCATACTGTAGATGTTTTGAAGGCCTTCTCTTACTACCACATCCTTATTTCTGTGGTTATACATGGGGACTTACATACAGAGTTGTGTGGGTGTTACAGTGAAATGTATTTTTTATTTTTAAACTGAAACAAAACGCCTTTATATTTCTTGCAGAGTCAGAACAAGGGGTTGCACAGGCCATTCTTCGTGGGCTTATAGACTTCAAAAGGGATCCATGGCCAAGCATTTCAGAGAATGCAAAGAGCCTGGTGCGGCAGATGTTGGAACCAGATCCAAAACTTAGGTTGACTGCAAAGCAAGTTCTTGGTATTGTACATACACATTTTCCAATTCTTTTGCATTTCATGACCAATATTTAAGTGTAGTTGTTTGTTCTCTATCACTATTGGTCACTTATGTTAATTATGGTCCCAGCTTCCTGCCATTAACTCAATGACCCATCTTGTTTTTACAAAGCTATTCCATCATTGCAGTTTTCTCTTCTTCTATTTATTGTTTGCCTTTTGCAATTATCTTAAAAAAGAAATGTGAGGGAAAAATACTTTATTGTAGAGGCAGGGATTTATAATTATTTACCAGTCAGCACGTCATTTCATGACAAGTTGTGCTTTCTACAGGATTTCTTCCATTTGACAGAGATGGAGGATCCTTGTACTTCATTCATCCTGTTGGAAAGTATCACTGATGTTGATCTCAAAAATAGGAAAATAAAGTCTCTTTGATGTTGGCATTCTTTGATTGGGTTGTGATCCAGATCTCCTAGTTATGGGACTCCATGCTATACCATTTCCTTTGATACCTTTTGGACTTCATTTGCAAATCTTGTAATGACTCCGAGGCCAAAATCTGGCAATAGAGAAAATTTATTTTTCTATAAGGTGCTCTTCGTGGGGCTTAAATATTTGCTTGGCGAGACTTCAATTATCATTGATCTGATTGATAGACTCAAATTGTGGACCAAGGTGGTATTCTTGTCATACTGTTATGTGCTGATTGATGCTATATAAATGGTAGTGTTGAGTGCTTTGGTTGTTTAGAAATCCTACGTTGTGAAGGAGTGATGATGCATCTAACTTGATATTGATCTAAATTTGTTATGTTCGGTGGTGTCATGGGTTTGGAGTAATCTTTTTGTTGCCTAAGCTTGGTAGAATATTTGATCTTGGATTGGAGACCAAGAATGGATTCTTGGTGAATTTTTCAGGATGAGAGTGTGGAACCTTTATTTTATTTTCAGGGCTGGGGGTTGGGGGATGGGATAGATTGAATTATAGTTGCTGGAGTCTGGGGGATAATGCTATGTTCCCACATGAGGAACTCCATCCCACTGTTCCTTTAAAGGATCTTAGAGGTAGCTGGGTTTAGAGAAATATGGATCTCACTGCCCATAAAATGGGATCTCAGTCTACATCCTTGTAGGATCCTTAGTATCATATATGGTGCATATCACATCGTGGTATACTAGAATTATGGTATTAAAGGCTACAATTGGATATCATCATAAGCCAATCTATGCTATCATTAATTGTAGTAAATTGGAGTACTATAACTATGCATTGATAATAAGCTAAGGTTTATGATAATTGAACAATCGGGCATTGGCTCGATCTTAGTTTTATCATATACTATTAATTGATCTATCTTGTTTTGTGCATAGTGGAGCTTAGATCCCTCCAATTCAAAACCTCGGTGCTAGTGACATGGGATCTTGCTCCCATGTATCCTAGGAGCTAGTTCCTTAACTTTAATGAAAGGACAAATGTATCCATTCTCCGAACTGATCCCGCTCCTGAACCTTCCCGCCTCCAACAACTATGGAGTATGGATTGTATTAATAAAATAAGAGATTTCCATTGAAGTGGCTGGTCCAAAGGGGCCAGAAACATGTATGCCTTTTTCACTCTTTTCGTGGTTTACGTGATTATCTTTCATAGAGTGGCTTCTGATGGGCTATTGATCATTCTCAAGAGCTAGGTATCAGCTGTTTTGGATGCATGTGAGAATTGCTGAATTTGGCTGGGCATATCCTTTCTGATGCATTGTACATCTGTAGGCTGTTTAGGGACATGGCCAAGCTCTGAAGGGTTTTCGATGGACTACACAAGGAGTTTTGAATTTGATGGAGGGGAATTTGCTGGAGGCCACTTGGTAGTTTAAGGGTTCTGCTCTCTGGAATCGAGCGAAATAACGGGCATCTCTTTTGTTGATGATGTTGTTCGTCTTGAAAGGCATTGGTTTCACAAGTTCATCCATCTCCTTCTATATAAGTTACTGGGTTCATTTTGGGTTGTGGTTCTTAGATATGAGGATGATTGGCTAAGGGAGCAAGGAAGTGGTCTTGGGATTTTGTTGGGAAGTCACCACAGTGCAGTCATGTCACTGATGGCTTACAGTTTGATTGGTTCTCGCTTGGATTTTTTTTTTCGATCTCATGTGACACGAATGCTTAATTGACATTGTGGAATGATCGACACCTTCCTGTTTATTCCCGTCATGCAGCAGTAACTAAGATTGACATCAGGTTTTTTATGAGGGGATGGGGGGTGGATCTATTTTTAGTGAATGCACTTAATGCACCTTCCTGGCCATGTAGGCACCACGTAAGCCACCTAGGCAGCTTCCTTGAGTTTGAGGTGACTGAGAATAAAAGCATACAAACCTTCTATGAAGTGGCCTCCTAGGGTGTCAAGCCAACTGCCTAGGTAGTCAAGGAGGCTCCCTGGGCTGTCTAAAACGTAGCCAAAGCAGCCCTAGGTGCCTGTCTCATGGCAGGTTCGCTTCATGTGGGCTTGCCTTGGCCTCGGAGGGGACGATTTGGTTTGTCCCACCTCAAGGTGGTGGCTAGGTGACCAAAGCAGCCTTGATGTCTTGGCCATCTTTTGAAACACTACTTCAGAAGATATATTCTCTGTTTTGTGCCTTAAATTAAGATATGAGAAGCATTAACGTGTGTGCTAACAAGTGGTAATTGGACACATTTTTTGCTCTTATTATCTTGGGCCTACATTTGAGCTGAGAGGATGCATTTGTTGCTCTCAATTCCTACAAAGCTATTGAACTCTTCATAGGGTTCTCATACTCTATGAAATGCCTCGATGCAGATATGGGTATAGACCATAGTTGTTGGAAACATTTGGGAACCCGAATCGTTTTAGGAATCGGAATCGTAGAATCGCAACTAGCTAGAAGATTCCTGTTTTGGAATTGACGTCCATACAATGGGAATTGCGGGGAGCGAGATTCCTATTTTTTGGGAGTCTAGAATTGACCAAAATGGAATTGAGATTCCGCCACGTCTGGAATCAAGATTCTGACCTTGTTGGAATTGAGATTCCTACCTCCTTGGAATCGAGTCCCAAGGTATCAAAATTCGGAAATCTTAGGAATTCAAGTTTCCAACGTATGTGGAGCCGATATTTGCATCAGTCTGGAATCGAGATTCCGACGTATTTGGATTCGAGTTTCTGACGTATGTGGAACCGATATTCATGCCAGTTTGGAATCAGGAATCATATTAGTTTAGAATTGAGTTTGATCCCAACTGGTAATCGTGGTTTGTAATTTTGTGGAGTCAAGTACGAAGCCCCATAGAAACAAATTTCCTATATCAACAACATCTCGTGCTTTATCGACTTAAAACCTATTTAAGCAGTCGATATCAGATGTCTCTCCTTGGACTTGTAGAAGGGTTCCTCAAATTTGAAGTCAATGTATTGATTATTGAACTTTGGGTCAAGTAGTCCACTAGCTAAATTATCTACAAAAGATACAAATGTTATCCCCTGTATTTTTGAATTATGAACTTGACTTCATTACTATACAGACAAAATAGGATTTTCTATGCCATGTTATTGTATGTGTTGTAATTACCAATTATACTTTAAAGAAAAGACAGTCAATCCTAGCACTATTAGAAATGTGAATTGAGCCAGTCGTAGCACTATTAGAAGCATTTGAATAGAATGACGTTTTCTACTCCAATTACCTTCAACTATTCAGGAAATTGGACAATATGTACTTCAAATTGTTTATTTTCTTTTCTTATTAATTTTTTTGCTTGCATTCTCATTATGCCATTGTGGTACGGGAGAAATTCAGTCTAGACATCAAGCACACACATGGATACATTATTGCATGAATTAAAAAACAACATGTGGGTAGAGAGAGATTTTGACGTCAAATGGGTATCTTATAGAGGTCGAAGCAGAATTTCATGTTGATTGAATCCCACTTTTTATGTTGTAGATTCTAGATTCAAAACCATAACGAATCAAGATTCATCACATGTGGAATCAGGAATTAACAGACGTGGAATCAAGATTCAATAAATGTTGGAATCGATATTCAAAAAATATGGGACCGAGATTCCACAAATAATGGGATCGAGATTCTTAAATAGGTATGAAACGAGATTCCTAAGTTCCGAGAAATGGTTTCTGTGAAGGTCCCTTGTCAGACTTGCTGAATCGGGATACTTTGAGCCAGAATCGTGACCTTGGCAGAGAGATTCGGGTAACTATGGCACGGAGAGCAGGGATACAACTCTGCATTTCTCAGAATTCACAGAGAAGGGTAATGAATATTGTGTGTGATACATGATATAGAGATTAGTTATCTCATTTTATATTTACACGTTTCTTGGGAGTGTCAAGTATCAATCTATCAATATCGGTGTCCACATGTTATTAACCTGGTAAGTTAAGCACATACAAGTATTTGTGCATTATAGCTCGTACCCCCAAAGTAAGATTTCGGAGTTGGTGGGGTTCGGAAGCTGCAGTGCTCTTTTCTCAGTGCTGGTGGTTTTGGACCTTTGGTTGGGGGGTTGAGGTGGTCCTCCTAAGAGTGTGAGGCAAACACCACAAATATTGTGAGTTAAACACCGCAAATGTTAAGTGAAACTGATTATTATGGTTTGTTGAGGTTGTTCACCATCTTGTTGGAAATTGTTTCCAAGAGCGTGCTGTTACCGGGCTCGACTTGCTCTTGGGTGTTCATGGAGAATTAATAGAGACTCTTGGACTTCAGACCTGCCTGGGTTTAAGAAGTTAATGGTAGTCCAGGGGAAACCCAGGTCTGGCTGACACTTGCTGGGTTTTCCATGAATGACAGTGGTATGGTCCTAGAATGCTACATGTCCTTCAGACAGATTCAGTGTGTGGAGCTCTCTTCCGAACTTCTTGTTCCAAACCTGGTTCTTTTGACTATTTCTCAAATGGTCCATATTCCTTTAGATGCATTATTTATGAAAAAAGAATATGCATGGGTGGAGTTTCATCAGTACAATATGTTAACTTATTCAAACCAGTACCTTAAACAGGTTTACCACAGATATTGTTCTTGTTTCCTTGTTCTGGGTCTAGTATATCATGGTGCAAAGTAGACTTGTTATCTGATGAGTATGGAACTGTAGTTTTATTCCTTCTTTTGTTTCCAAAATATGGCTTAAAATGTATTGGATTACTTTGAATGCTTTGGTTTTACATTTTACAGAGTAAGGATTTCAGTTTTATTTGTCAAGGGTAAAAAATAAGCATTTCTGTAAGTGGATGTTAGTCTTATAGATCAATATCTTGCAAAGTGGTATGTGCAACCCCAATATCGTGTGGTAAAGCTTTCTTTAAAAAATTGAAAGTACCATAGTGCTAGTTAGTAATAAATTTTTCTTGTTACTGAAATTATTCAGAAAAAATTGTTCTGTTACTAAAGTTTATTATAAAAAAAAAAATTACAATCCAACATACACATCTCCTGGAAAAGAATAGCATCTCACAGGAGCTTACTGGTCATGGTTATCATTTCCATTGAAAGGTAATTTTCCAAGTTTTGTTTTTTCACCCTGCTAGGGATTCTTTCACTAATCACAGGTTGGCATTTTTAGACAAACTTTCTGGGTTCAGTTTTAGAGAGTAGGCCAATTAGTCAAATGTTACAGAACATAGATGTTTCATATCTGTTCCCTTCTATTACTGATATCTCGGTAGAGGTGGCAACTTCATTTTGAAGAAGAGTTCTCTAGTGGGATTCATTGTATTAACTTTTCTCCATTGTTACTATTGCAGAGCATCCTTGGCTACAAAATGCTAAAAAAGCTCCAAATGTTCCTCTTGGAGATATTGTCAAGACAAGGCTTAAGCAGTTTTCAATGCTCAACAGGTTTAAGAGGAGAGCTTTAAGGGTTGGTTCTACAAATCTGATCTATTGTCGATTATATTCTTTCCTTTGTGAATCTTATAACTGAAAATCGACCCATAAACATATATGCTAATAGGTCATTGCCGAGCATCTGTCCATTGAAGAGGTGGAAGATATCAAAGAAATGTTCAAAATGATGGATACAGACAATGATGGCACTGTAACCTATGAGGAACTAAAAGCAGGAATTCAAAAGCTAGGGTCCCAGCTTTCGGAGGCTGATGTGCAGTTGCTTATGGAAGCTGTATGTATATCTTTTACTCTGTAAGTTTGATGGTGCATGGTAAACATAATAAAATGTATTAATGCTGTTTGATTATTTTCCAAATTCACCAAATGACATAGATATTTACTATTGGCGATTGGACATTGCTTGCATCCTCCATAGAGAGCCGTTGAGAAGTGAGAAAAATGATGTATGCTATATTAGAACTTTGTGAAGTTTGATTGATTGAATTTAAAAAGCACACATATGAGACATTGATCAACGTGAAATGTGGCTGCAATGACTAGATTGGTGTGAATGACCTATTCTCAGTCTTATATGTCATCCCTTCCTTCAAATGTTCATCATATCCAGAGTAGTCTTCGTGTTCCCTGGGCCTATTTTTCCCAAACTTAGTGGTGACTGAGATTCCTTGTTTGTGATGTGCATATGGTGCTTGCTTACAATGAGAATTTAAAATACTTCCCTTTCTATACAAAAACTTTGTAAAATTTTTGAAGCTCGTGTTGCCCACAATTTTACTAGGTGGTATCGGTCCTCTGTGCAACCTCTGCTCAAGAAATTGGGGTGAGGTTTCTTTGGGACATGTTGCAGGTAGCTTTTACTTGTTTAGCCTTCCGTTCTCAAAATCAATTATTTTTTAAGTAAAATGTAGCGATATATAAATGCTGTAAATTATATTTTGCAAAAACCCACAAGGTGTAGGTGATGACATCCCACAAGTTGACTGCTGAGAAGCATACCATAAAACACAAAACCCTTGCTTACAAAAAGGAATAGTAAGGGGTGAGGGAGAGAGATAGGTTAAGAAAGAGAGATGTTTAGGCTAAGAAAGAGAGCAATTTAGAAAAGAGAAAGGGTGATGATATAGAGGAGAATAAAGGTATGCAGAAAAAATAAAACTAAGAGAATGAAGAGAGTCAGAAATGGAGATAGTGGAAGGAGAGATGGTGAAGGGAGAAAGAGGAGTTCGGCAGGCATCCCACAAGCCGGTGCTCTGCCGGAAAACAGCAAATAAACCAAAAAATAAGAGTTGTCTTTCTCAAAATCAATTTTTTCTTAGTATTTCCCAAGTGATTTCTTTTTATTCCCTCAACCAATTCTGAGGTGATTTAAATTTCTTAGGGGAGTCTCTTGCTCCCACACAAGTTTTCTTCTTCCTTTTGCTCATCTTTTAGATGTTTCTAGTCATTAAGCTTTGAATGGATGTGATGCTAGAGAATAATGTGGATCATATGGAACCTTGACTATTAGATGTGGCGAGGTTGCTTTTCTCTGGTTTCCAAATTGGTGGAAGTTCTCATAGGGTGTAAAAATCTTTTTTGTCTTTTTTTATCTGCTACTGGCTGTTTCCTCCATTATTCTGATGGCTTATTTCTACTTGGGTTATGATGTGAATGGTTAGGCTTTTTAAGCATGAAAGCACTCTCTCATATGGTGGGTCCTTCTCATTCGAATGCTCTTCATCTATCTTGGGTGGATGTTATGCCATCTTTTGGTTGGTTGGTTCAAAAGATTTTCCCTTCTGGTCAATGTTGATGTTGTTGGATATAAAAGAGGCTTCACATTTTCTTGACTGGGAAGATTTGTAGAGCTTTGTTGCGCCAGTTAGAGATCGTGGTGATGGGCTATTAATTCTTGAGATCAGTGTATCAAAAAGTGCTAGGCGGGTCCTAGGTGGCCTGGGGGTTCCAGGCCGCCTAGGCGAGCGCCCAGAACCTGGGCGGCGGGCCCAGTTGAAAAAAAAGAAAAGATAGAAGCCGAGAAGAGAATTTTGATAATCCATATTGTTAAACAGTAAACTGTAAAACCATACAAGTGTAAGATACAAAAGTCAACACTGAACATAACAAAAATATGCAGAAATTTAGAAAATATACAGTATAGGATACAAAAGTCAACACTCAACACAACAGTCAACACTCAGCACTTAGCACCAAGAGGCAAGAGTCTTCAGTCATCATCATCATCAGAAGGAATATCAATAAGGCATGCCTCATCATATGCATCAGAGTCGAGGCCATCATCATCAGAGTCATCTTCCTCTTCAATATAATACTCGTCCTCCACTGTTTCTTCTGAATCTGCCTCTTCCTCCTCCTCTTCTTGTACCTTCCTCTTACTAGTATGTACAGTCTGTGCTGATGAGGCCCTAGGCGTCTTGGCTGCTCTGAACTCAAATATTGTCTAATTTCCTCCCTGGTAGCCTCAAGAATATTTTTACACGGGACAACATCTCCCTTAATACCGACAAGGTGTTTTTTAAACCGGTAAATACCCCATTAGTATCCTTTCCACAATAATCACATTTAATACATTTTTTATCATTTGGATTCGGGTTATAACCATACTTCCAACTTCGATCCACTTCTAGAAGAACCTAGAGAAGATACTTCCATAGAACAAGGCTTATTTTCATCATTTTCTGGTTCTTCTATATTCAACAGATGTCTAATCTCATCCTGAACTGCTTTAAGAACCTTTGTACAAGAAGCAACATTGCCTCTAACACCAACAAGGTGTTTTTTGAATCGGCTAATACCCCCATTGGTATTTTTAAAAAAATTTACACATTATACAATTTTTATCATTTGGTTTTGGGTTGTACCCATACTTCCAACCCGGATCACTTCTTCTAGAAGTAGCAGAAATAGATATATAACAAGGATTTTGTTCGTGTTTTACACAACTTATATATTGCTTAATCTCCTCTCTGATAGCTTCAGGAACATTTTTACAAGGGGAAAATGTTTCTTAAACCGATTTATGCCTCCTTTTGTATTTTTTTCACAAAAATTGCATCGAACGCAATTTTTGCCATTTGGATTCGGGTTGTGTCCATATTGCCGACCCGGATCTCCACTCCGACTAACACTTGAAGAAGACATCTGAAAATAAAACAAACAATCTAAAAAATAAAGTTTTGCACTTACTTTGATTGCTCGAATTCCAAACTTTGAGAAACACTTCGATCCAATAAAATGTAGTTTTCTGGATGTTTCTTTCTCTCTAAAAGGGTTTCTTGTGGGTTTAGGTTTCAAATGAACCTAAAATCCCTCATTTTAACCTTTTATATCTTTTAAAAATATCAAAACAAAAAAAGAAAAAAAAATTTTCGCCTCTTGGTGGAGCACAGGCCCTGGGCGGCCTCCCAGATTAGCCGCCTAGGCCTGGGCGAATTGCCTAGGCATTTCGGTTTGCCTAGGCGTCGGGCGGTCCGCTTGGTTGAAGGCAGCAAGTTTCCGGAAAATCGGATTAGTGTTACGAAAGGAAAAGAATTGTCTTGCTTTGGTTCGGGCAATGTTCAAAAAAATGGATTTGGGCGCCTAGACGGTTTGGGTGCCTGGCCGCCTAGGTGGGCACCCAGGACAGGGTGCCCTCACCAAAATCAAACCCCACCCCATTAAAAAAAACGGATTCGGGTGCCTAGGCGGTTTGGGTGCCTGGCCGCCTAGGTGGGCGCCCAGGGACAAGGTTCCCTCACCAAAATAAACCTCCCTCCCCCCGAACCCGCCCCAAACATAAAAAATAGGGGAGTTCTTAGGGCATGGTTTATATCCTTAGGGAGTATTTGGGGCAAATTTAGAGCTCCAAACTCCTCGTGAGTATAAAATAGACGAAAACATAGTAGTACAACAATACAATACTACAATGAGTACAATCACATAACATATTTACGGATGAGACAATCATACAAGTCTCAAAGAGATTGTAACTTTGTAAGTTGTATGACGTTAAAATGCTTGAAATACCAAATGTCATTGTAGGAAACTAGAAATCCATACTAGAAACGAATCAACGCTATAGTCATACACAAGTTAACAAGGCAAAATAAATAAACAAATGCATCAAGTCATCATTCATCAACTAGACAACTCTATGGCATCAGTGGCATCACCACTCAGGGTGTTCAATTGGATCATGAGGAGCATCTGATGATGATGTTGTTATCCTGCCATCATCATCAGAATCATCGCCTTCCTCAATATATTAAGTGTCATCCCTTGTCTCCTTTGAATCTACTTCTTCCTCTTCATCATCCTCTCTTAATGTCAATATACCCTCTTCCTCTTCTTCGCCATTGCCTTCTCCTTTCCCTTTCCCTTCCTTTGGCTCTGACTTTGAGTTTGAGCACGAGCGGTACGCATAGGGGGCATTGCTGTCCCAGCAGCCTCACGAACCTGGCCCCAGGTCAAGCCCTCTCCAGGGAAAGCCTCATCATCACTGGCATCGACCATCCACTCGCATGTGTCATCAATATCAAAAGCTTCAGTAGCCTCCCTTTGATTGTGCTCCAGCTGATGATGACGCTCTTGCAACTTCTGATTATACTGAACAAAGACTACTGAATATGTATGGCGTTAATTTAATAAGTAATATTACCATTTCAAAGGTGCTGAAGTTTCGCTGACATCCAGAGGAGCTGCAAGTCAGATTTAGTATTTTCATGGCCATCTGCCTCAAAAGAGGGGTTCTTCCACCATGGCCCATCCACCATGCACCTATTTCATGTAAATGTAAAATTGTGAATGTAGTAATTTAGTAAATTAGGAATCTAGCCATTTGGGTAATTGAAATTAAATACTTAAATTATAAAATCAAATTGAAGAGGTTCTAAACTTACCAGCAGAGATCTTGGACGTTTGTCTGATTGCCAACTCCTTACCTAGAGATCCAGTAGTGAGTTTATACAAATCTAACTCCATCATTGCCTTATCCTGCACGTCAGCATCATGATTGAGCTTCACATTGCACTGGTTGAAAGCATCCATGAACTCAGGCTTGCTATGTACTTCAGCATCGGTGTAAAAGTGAGTGAGGTTAAGGTAATATCTTGCTAAGTGTAGGAGCCTCTCAAGCTGGGAGTTCCATTTGTCTTCAATAATTGTAAAAAACGGCCCATACCTCTTTTCATCCCCCAGACATCTCTTGATTTCTTCCTTCGCTTCCTGCATGTATTTATAGATGTGCCGCATAGCAGGTTTCTTCTCAGCATCAACCAACTTGAGAACCTTTACCAAAAGGTGAAAGACTAACA